AATCATAGGAATGTACGCATTCAGAGGATAATTCGACTTTACTTCCATATGGCCGCCCATGCGTGCTGAGACGCTCTGACAAGTGGCTCTCCGAATGGCACAATTAGGAGCACATTCAATGCAGCTGGATCTACCCTATAACGTCCAAGGACTGGAATGCTATCATCATGCAATCAACAATACTCAACAAAGAAACGCCTTAAGGGGCTACAATGACTGCCGTATTTTGCATGCCACGTCGTCCTGCTAGAAAAAGCGCAAGGCTGATAATTAGTGGCGACGCACGCATTTTTCTCTGGTGCTTCAGGTGTTTACTTGCAAAAGAGAAACACTGTTGTCTCACCCACGGGCTTGCCTACAGCTTATTTTCAAGCACCTACAAAGGCAACCGCGCCCACTAATTCTGCTATGGAACACAGTTTCCGCTAGCCTTAGAAGCATACAAGTGCGTACGCCGTGACACCGATTGTTATCGACTTGGCAACTGCTCGGAAACCTTTTGTCATTGGAGAGTAGGTAATTCCGGAGGCCTTACTGTAGCGGGAAAATTGTTCCATACCCTATGCTTACAATGCGCATGCGGTGCTTTTTGGCGGGTCATATCAGGGCCTTACGGTCACTTGTTATTTTAAGCACATTAACCACAGGCAAAGGAGGCGTAAATATCATGTTGATACTGATACTGATACTGATTAGAAGCAGCGAGTAGAGCATACTCTGTGTAGCTGCATCAGTTGTCGCTCTTGGACATTAACGTATTAATTACCGTTTCGCTCTTTATATTTTGCCTCTGCGAAGTGTTTGCCTAGAAGCTTCTTAAATTCTGCCACTGAATTCGCCTCTATTACCGACTGCGGCAGTTTGTTTCGGGTATTCACCACTCTACGTTCGAAACAGAGTTGGTGAGCTACCCGCTTCAACTGCGGTACGATAAGTTTGTACCGGTGTCCTCGCGTGCTGCTTGGTGTGCGCAGATGAAGCAGTTGCCTCAACATGGGGTAATCACTCAGATGTAATATCCGGTGCGTCATGATTAGGTCAACCCTCAGCCGACGATATGCTAGGGTGTACAGACCTAGTTTCTTACATCGGTCTTCATATGGCATACCTCGTAAGTTGGGAATCAGCCTGGTGGTTACATGCTGCACCCGCTCAAGCTTCTCTACCTCGCCCAGCGTGATGGGACAATACGCGGGAGTGCCGTACTCCAGCACTGGTCCTATTATTGAGACGAAGAGGCGAGTGGCAATCGCTTTAAACCAAGTGCTGAAGCTGCGCCTGAGCACCCAAAGCATCCGAAGGCTGTTTCGGTACAGCCTATTTGTGTTGTCAATGGACTTTAGGTCGCAGGATTGACACGCATCTTACGACCTTAACATAACGGCAGGTCCATGGGTACTGAAACGGTACCTGATTACCGATGGGGTCCACGGTTGTGTAGACGAACCTACACTCACTAATGTTGTGTCGCCCACCAATAGGCACCTTCTTCTTTGGAGCCATGACTACAGATCCACTGATGGTCTTACGTACCCAACGAACTATACCTTAGTATACAATGCGCCGTCATACATTAAATTTATCCTTGTTCAACGAGTCATGATTTAACCACTTAACGCGGCTTTCTTTCGCTTCATGTGTTTCTTAGGGAAAACTGGTAACGTCTCTGCATAGACCATAGCCGTAAGACGTCTATAGCTAGAGCACACAGAACTGAGCTGTCCAGAGAGACTAGTGCCCGTATGTAAAATTCCGCCGGTGGCGCAAGTGACCGTTCCATGCAAAGGCTGTTGCCACTTAAGCTCGATTCGTGCAAGCACATGACACGGTTTTTGACGGCTTTGGTATGAAAAACGCTGCAACGGTCACTTATGGCATACCATACTTAAAAACCCTGCGAAGACCCATGAGTAGCTCCGGCCGCGGCCGTGATCAGTTTTCTTCAACGAAGTAGTGCCAAATTCCGCGCAATCACCTGGCGTTCTTGAATGAGTTGAGGTCAAGCAAGGGTGGTCGCAGCCACCCCAGGCGCATTCGCACTGATCAGTTAAACACCTACAAATAGGCCACTGGGTAACCGCGACATATACTTGCCCCGTGCCATTATAAATAATACACCTGTGTTACTAATGAATAGTCATACGAAAACAATGATCCATGTTGTTCTGCGGCGATACTGCGGTCAAAACATCGGTATAAAGGGAAACGGTCAATGGAGTAGGTGCCGTGGTGGAAAACCGTACAAAACTGCTCAGTGCTACGAATTGGATATTCAAAATACTGCATGTAATTTACTTAAAATGCGCCGCTGTGCACAGAATAAATAAATGTTTTATTCTGGGCTACGCGACGCAGGCCGATATATACGAGATCGTAGTAATAGTATAACCATTGGGCAAGTAACCTGTAATAGTATAAGAGGAGTTTTATGTACGGATCCAAAAATGTAGGTATATAGGTAGGTGTGTTGCTTGTGCGTGTAACTATGTTGCCGTTCATTTGATTGAGTTAGTTCGCTTCGGCGTTGTGTAAAGGAATGTTTGTGGCTGTGGATTTGGTAAGGTTTTCCAAGTAATAGAAGGCAGTTACTTTATTTGGTAGTGAGTCATATACGCCAAGGCACAGTGTTCTTAAGCAGGCATTTGCAGGTTTTTATTAGGTGAACGCTTGCCGGGCGAAAACGGACCACGTCCCGGAACACTGTCGCTGAGCTTTTGCTGGAACGGGTGAGAAACGAACCACCAAGCTGGCACCACGGAGAGGTTGTCCGGCAAGCCAAACCTTGTTATTTAGCTGAAAACAATGCATTTAGTAAGCTTTGCACGACCTACCCGTAACTCCGATATTGGTTGACTGTTCGCGGCTCTATGGATTGTGGAGAAGTTGGAAAGATTTACGCTGGATTGCGGAGGCTCCAGGACATTTCTGAGCTTGAGGGAGGAGTGTACTCTTATGTTAGCAGGTTAATGCGCACGGCATCCGCAACCTTCCTTTGTGTAACCTCTTTGCATACATACTTCTGCGCCAGAACAGTCGCTCGTAGTACCTAAGCATCCCCATGGAGCTGACGTACAGTGCATCACGCAGTAAACACGTACCCGCTTGAAGGTGCTTATGTCGTGCGCGTACGAAAGTGATCTGCAGTGCTACGCATCGCGTTAGCACGTGCTCTACCGCGAGTCTAGCGCTATGTTGCAATGACACGCTTAGGAAGTTTTCTAAAATTGATGTGTCTTTAGCTTAGTTAGGATACGAAATGTATCGCACCAAATCATGCGAGTTGCGCTCATTTGACTATGTTTCGGCTTACGCAGCCAGGTCCGTCTAGCTGATAGTTGGTAGCGGTAAGTTCGGAGTAGTGCGCCCTATATTTCTATGCGCACTAGCCTTCCAGGACCATTGGTAAGCCTTGATAGCTTTTGGGTCTTCTTCAACCAGATGAACGTTATCCGCAAAACCCAAAGGGTTGCGTTACTTAATAGTCTTAACGCACACGAGATGGTTCCGATGTGTTTTCGCTGGTTCGCGTTCTCGGATTCCAAGTGTCGAATGAGAGTCATAACCTACAAATTGGTCCTCCGTATAACGGTGAATACATACCTCGGTATGCATCCCGCAGCTAGTTGATGGTTACAATGATTGCGCCTAGGCGGTGGTCAAGATTATGCAAGGAATAATGAAGCCTACCGGATATGCAGACGGTAGGTAAATCCAATGGTTGCGTAGCTTCCGTACAGCTGCCTGACAGAGCGCTTGCGCTATACTGGCTTGGTGCGCTGGCGGCGTTTCTAATTGGCTTCCATTTTGTGTACGCTATCCCCATTCGACGGCGAACGATCTCCTGGAGGAA